CTCCTCCCATCTTTTCTCTGTCCCACCCTCCGGAGCTTTGTGCCCGGGGAGCCGAGCCGCTTCCTCGCTCTGCCACGCCGCGGGAGGAGGGAGCTGCCACCGACGAGCTGCAGCTCGCTGCCCCGGGCAGGGGCACAGGTAGGTGGCGGCCGCGGGCTGGGCCGCTCACGGAGCCCTGGGCCGCGAGTGGGGGCGGGGGCGAGGTGTGAGGGATGGGTGGGTGGGGGAGGGGAAGGCCGGGGGGGATGCGGTTGGGGTGTGGTTCGGTGAAAGGTGTGAAGATGAGGATATAGGGGGTGTGGAAGATGGGTTTAAGGGTGAGGTAGTGGTGCTGCGGTTGGGTATGGGGGCGTGTGAGAATCGGGGTTCGGGGCGGGGTGGGAGAAGAGAACCGGATTTTTTTGGGGTGGATTCGGGGAGGGGCATGCGTGGGAATTTAGAGAAATGGGGAGTTGCAGTGCTGGGAAAGGGGCTTTGAGGAGTGCGAGGAGGAAAGGATCTAGGTTGAAGCAGGAGAAAGGGTGGGGTCTTGAGGGTAGGGAAGAAAGAAGTTGGGGCTGTGGATTGTGAAGTTGAGCCTCGTGAGGCCTGAAGGAAGGGGATTTTGAAGGTTGAAGACAGGACAAGGAAAGAGATGGAGAGGTTTGGATCTTAGGAGAGGGAATCCCAGAGCGGGGAGGAAGGGAAGGATAGGTGGTAATGGACGGAATAGGTGGTGCCTGGGGGTGAGAGTGGGTGGAATGACGTGGGGAGTAAGAGGGAGGCTGGTGGTGGTGGGATTGGGTCTGGGGACCCGGAGCCCAATTCAGAAGGGCCAGGGAAGGATTAGGTTTTTACAGCGGTTCTCAACCTGTGGGTCGCGACCCCTCTGGGGGTTGAACAGCCCTTTCACAGGGGGCGCCTAAGACCATGGAAAACACATATGTAATTACATGTTCTTTTTGTGATTAATCACTATGCTTTAATTATGTTCAATTTGTAACAATGACATTGGGGGTCACCACAACATGAGGAACTGTATTAAAGGGTCGCGGCATTAGGAAGGTTGCGAGCCACTGGATTAGAAGGCCATAAGGTTTCAGAGGTGTGGGCAGAGGAGCTGAGAGTGGGCGAAGGAAAGAGGGTTTGGGATTTTTCCTGGAGAAACTGGATTTTGTGTGAGAAGCTCTAAAGTTAGCGGGTAGGAAAACTAAACTTTAAGTCTCCAGATGTGGGAGAGGTTGGTGTGTTCCTGGAGGACACTAGGGAGCAGGGTATGGTGCTGTCCTCGGGAGTTTGGGAGAGGAAAGGGTATGGGCGAGAAGGCAGGTAGGAAAATGCAAGTTACAGAGGAAAAGAAGAGTGAGAGGAACTGAAAATTGAATAATGGTGGCTGACACAGAACAGTGAAGGTAAGCTTGTCAGTTGCTTATTCATGGCTTGGAACTAGTTTCTGTTCAGGTTTTTATGTTGGAAATTTTCTCAAGAATTCTGCATTTTCAAATTAACCAAGGGTGTCTGCAGCCTGGGGATGAAGGCCGTGAGTTGACAGATGTTTTCCTGGTGTGTGGATGTGGGTCATTTCTGCCCTGGCAGAAGGAAGAAGGGAGGCCTCAGTGTAGCTCTCTTTCCTGGCTCTGTTCCCACCAACTCTTTCCTCAAATGTCCACTGTTTTGTGTGTGTGTGTGTGTTTTAAGTCTCCTCCCTGTCCCTCCATCCTCCCAGCTTGAGCCAGTGAATACCAGAGGAATCAAACAGGTGGGTGAGATTAATTTTTAACATACTGTTTTATCCTTATGTCATATTTTTATTCTTGAGAGACTGCATCATGCAGTGGAAAGAGCTTGAATTTTGGAGTATTACAGCCTTGAGGTTTAATGCTGGCTCTGTCACCGATTAGTTATGTATTTTAAGTAAGTTACGTTACTTCTCTGGGCCTCTTCATCTGTTAAATGGCAGTCTTGACCTCATAAGATTGTTGAAGATTCCATGAGATCATTTAATATAGTACCTAGCATAGTGCTTGACAACTGGCAGATGCTTAATAAATGGTAGCTATCATACCTACTATCATTATCATCATAGTCTTTCCTAGGATTTATTATGATGGGGGTTGTTAACTTACTTTACTTACTAAAGTTAGGTGTTTTCTTCTCCTTCTCTTCAAATTAGATATCCATAGACTCAAATCACAATTTTAATCCTGTTGCCTCCTACCCCCCCAACTCTCCAACCCCCCCACTTGACATGAGAAGAAGGCATTTCCTTACTCTAATGCTTCCTGCTTGGTAAACTGGCTTCAGGTTCTAAAAAAACTATCATGTTTAGTTATCAGTTCTTTTATTTTGCCTCTGATTCAAAGAGGCTGCAGAGAACCGAGTTATTAATGTAGTAAGGTTATATTTTACTCATTGGATGAAATGACATGCGGCGTGGTATTGGTTCATTTATGGTGGCCAAATGCTAGAACATGCACTGTTGTGATATTTTTCTACAATGTTGTATGTGTTACAAAACTGCCTCTCTGTAGGAGGCTGGGAAATTAATAGAAAATGTTAGAACATGCACTGTTGTGATATTTTTCTACAATGTTGTATGTGTTACAAAACTGCCTCTCTGTAGGAGGCTGGGAAATTAATAGAATGGCCCTGTTACTCTGTTGATCTAATATAAAAGATAGCTAATGCAGATCTACACTGAAACCACCCTGTACATCAGCCAGGTGGAAAAAAGAAACAAGTACAGAAGCTTTGTGTGGAGTTCTCTTACCTTCATGGTTTATTATCTTGAAAGGTTTAAATACAAAAGGTTGTAATTTTTAGATCATTTTATAGTACCTCACAGATTCTCAGGAAGCTCCTTATTGGGAGAATGCAAGATGCAGAGATTCAGTAGTAGAAATCAAAGCTCGGCAGGATACCCGGAACCAAGATGAGTTCCCCAAGTGCCGTTGTTGAAGAATAGAGAGGCCTTGGGGTTTCTGGACAGATGATATGGGTTTACTCTTTAGGAAATTTTGGATCTCTTTTCATTATTTAGGAAGACAACTAGCATTTGATGAGTATTTTAAGGGTAAAATATAGCCATAACTATGCCCTTTTTTTGAAAATGATCTCTGGAAGCAGAAGCTGCCAGGATTTGGGGCAGCCTGGGTTAACATCCTTACTCCTGTCCCAAGCTGCTGTGCCCCCTGCTGGATAGAATCAGACTTTTCTGATTTTCACCCAAAGTACTCCATTCCCGCATTTGTCCATTCTACTCCGAAGTTTGTGGAAGGCACTATTGGGGGTGAAGATTATGGGTAGTACAGATGGGCAGACTCTGTTTCTTTGTCAAGGAGCTTATAGTGTGCTGAGCCATTGTAATATATTATCTTCCATTGAATTTGCCTTTCTATTAAAATCAAATCATTTCTTTTTAGGACTGTACCTGCTGTCTACTTTCTGATCTTCAGGTAGAGTAGGACTCTGAATGTCCAATCATAGAGATAAAGACCAAAGGGTCTGCTTTATCTCCTCATCAAGATTAAAGTCTGTGAGGTTGAAGGAGCCAGATGTTTACTTCTACTGGAAGAAGACCTTAGAATAAGTGAGGCATCTCCTTAGTAGCAAGCTGAACACCAGCAAGACTATGAGTTATAAGAGCCTGCACTGTTATAGGAGGCTTTTGTTTTTTTCTGGTTTGTAGATCCTCCCCCCCCACCCCCACCCCCGCCCTCGTAGTACCAGTAGCAATATACTCCCATCATTTGCTTTGCTTCTACCACCTGCAGAAGGGTCTGGCAAGTGGGGGAGGAGCTGCAGCTGTTGCCTGGAAGAGGAGCTGGCTCCTAGCAACAGTATCAGCAGGCCCTGAAGCTCAGAGCACTAAGTCTGTCCCTTTGAGGTCTCACTCTTCATCTCAGCAAATATCTGTTGAGGGCTTACTCAGCACCAGGCGCTACGTTGGGCCTGGGAATGAGAAACAAATCAAATAAGTGCCTTGCCTTCAAAGAGCTCACAACTCTGGGAACATTGGTAAGAGAGGAGACAGAGTACATGGTGCTAAGTGTTATGTAGAAGGAGCCATTGGTGCTTTGGGAAAAACCAGACAGGCACTGGTACAGGGGTTAGGGAAGGTTTCCCAGGAGAGGGATGGTGGTGGTAATGATGAGTAGGAATTAGCTAAGTCAGGGAAGCAGAGAAGGGTATTCCAACCAAAGGGAGCCAAATGGGCAAAGGCCAGTGGGAAAAGAGCCCAGCCAGTTTATCTGGTGGGTGGTATTGCCTAGTCAGAGTAGAGCAAAAAGAAAAGGGTGAGGCTCTTAGCCTAAGCAAGGCCCTCTTTTCTGATGTGTTTTACGCACATAATTATCCTTGGGAGAAACATGGATTGTACTGATGCCCACAAACAGGATCATCTGTTTGATCTTCAGAGAGTCAGCATTTTTGATCACTGACTTGTTTGCTGACACTTTTAAGTGTCATCATAGCTACATCCTAGCCCTGCATCGATGCAGAAAAAGCTGGGTGGGTTCACTTTAAAAGTCAATGAATGTCTTTCAGAGATAATAGCAGCTTTTTGAATTTCGTGTACTAGTTGTTGTAGAAATGATAATCAAATACTTTCCTTTAACATAGCAATTTCTTGTGTGTTTGGAAATCTCACAGTTCCTCAGGAAAACAAGTATTTATTCCAGTTAGTGCTTCCATACAAAATATAACCATGTGATCACATAAATACCCAACTGTTTTTAATATTTCATCTTACCTCAAAAGTGCCCTAAAAGTATCTTAATAAAAGTGATGCTTCCAAGGGTTAGGATAGCTTTTATTTAGCTCTTGTGACGGAGGTCTTCATTTGTAAATCCAATACAAACCCTATTGCTTGTGGTCTGTGTAAGGTTTAGCAAATGAGTAAACTGCAGTTCTGCAAATACCTGCTTAGGGCCTGTGACATGCCAGAGCACTTTGTTAGGAAGTCTGGCTGAATTAAACATGGTCCCTCCTCTCAAGGAGCTCAAACCAGCTGAACACAGACCCAGAAACAAATCAGTAGCAGAGCAGTGAGCCAAGTACAACAAAGAAGTGTGAGGAAGGTACCATGGTAGCAAGGGAATTTTTCATTTCTAGTCTTTGTTATATATATATATATATATATATATATATATATATATATATATATATAGTTTAAAAATAATAGAAATAATAAATTCCAAACGTACTATTTGTAACTTGCAAATCAATAAAAATTTTATAATAGTAATGGCTGCATAACATTCCATGGTATGGATGTATCATAATTTATTTAATAACACTCCTGTTTTTGGACATTTAGGTTGTTTCCCATTGTTTTGCTAATATCTACTGCTGCCATGACTTACTTTGTCGATGATTCTTTGCCCACTTCTGCGTTAAACTTCCTGAGGGTAAATTTTAAAAATGACATACTGGTATGAACTGGATTCTGAAAGATGAATAGAAGATCACCAGATAGACAAGAAAAGGGGGAGGGTAGGAAAGGGCATTCCAGGTAGAGGCAATAGAAGCAATCTCCAGTGCCAAAGTTCATAGGCAACTGGTAAGCTTCATTTTCCCAAACCAGCCACAGGGCCTGCCTGGTAGGCTCATAAAACACTGGGCACAGCAAGATGAAGTTACATGTTACAAATGGCATTTTAATTGGATTTGCTTCCCTTGTGCCTTGCTTTTGCAGTTGCAAGCAAGGCAATGTCTTACTACCTCAACTCAGAAAACCACCTGGACCCAGGGCCCATCTATGTGCGAGAGAATGGGCAGCTGCACATGGTCAATCTGGCATTGGATGGCGTCAGGAGTAGCCTGCAGAAGCCAAGGCCTTTCAGACTGTTTCCCAAAGGCTTTTCTGTGGAGCTTTGCATGAACAGGGAAGATGATACTGCACAGAAAGAGAAGACCGATCATTTCATCTTCACATACACTCGGGAGGGGAACCTTCGGTACTCTGCCAAATCCCTCTTCAGCTTGGTCCTGGGCTTCATCTCCGACAATGTTGATCACATTGATTCCCTTATTGGCTTTCCTGAGCAGATTGCTGAAAAGCTGTTCTCTGCTGCTGAAGCCAGACAGAAATTCACAGAGCCTGGTGCAGGGCTAAGAGCTTTACAGAAATTCACAGAGGCCTATGGAAGTCTGGTGCTTTGCTCCCTGTGTTTGAGAAACAGGTGGGTATTCTGATTAGGATATTGAATGTTTTATTGGGTGTGTTAATTGTGTCAAGCTCTGGGGCTTTAGTAGGCTTGGAGGCTTCCCCCATCAAATAAAACTTTAGTTTAGAACTTCCAGACAAAGAGGTGCACCATTTTGAGAAAAATCACTGTCTGTCTTCCACCCTCACTTTCACAGACAACGCTTAGCTTTATTTTGAAAACACTTTACAAGGATTAGTTGATTGCCACAGCTCCATTAGGTAGAAAATACTTTTCTATCAACTTTTCTCGTAAGAGAAAATCGCAAAGACAAGATGTGATCTGTTTCTTGGTATGCTTTGGGGATGTGAACATTAGCAAGCAGAGTTCTCCACCCTGTTCCAGTTTTCAGACTACTAGGTCTTGAGCATTAGATGAAAAGAAACTTGAAAAGAATGACTGATTAAAATTTCAAGTATCCTAAAATTTGAAAATTTTCAAATAAGGTCCAAACACTAACACAAAGGGCTATCTTTTCCTAACAAAGCAGATATATTTTCTTGTAACTTGCCTTTGCTCATATACTTCTTTTTACTTACAGTTTTTATTCCACCATCATGTAAAATGACTTTCAAAGCATCTACGAATTTTTTAAAAACTTAAAAAAAATGTACACAGAAAAGAATTTAAAACAAACACAAAAAAGTAGAAAGGCAGACATAAGCCTTCCTCTCATCTCCTCATTCCTCTTTCCAGAGGCCCCTACTATTATCAATTTCTTTTATATCATTCTAGAGATATTCTGTACATATACATGCATATACAGTTCCCTTTGTCATACAGATGGCAACACACTGCTTACATTGTGTGTACCTTGCTTCACATATTTTGAAAATTATTTACCATCGATACTTACAGATTTTTTAAATAGCTGTATAGTATACCACTATATGAACTTTTTTGTGATAATGTGAAAGGCAGTTTACTATTAAGATGCATAGTCAATATGATCATTAAGACCTTGGCTGGGTAGCTCAGTTGGCTAGAGCATTATCCCGATACACCAAGTTGTGGATTTCATCCCCAGTCAGGGCACATACAAGAATCAACCAATGAATACATAAATAAGTGGAACAACAAATCGATCTCTCCCTCTCCCTCTCCCTCCCTCTCTCCCTCTCCCCCTCTCTCCTTCTCTCCCTCTATCCCTCTCTCCCTCTCCCCCTCTCCCCCTCTCCTCCTCTCTCCCTCTCCCTCTCCCCTCCCTATCCTCTCTCCCTCCCTTCCCCTTTCTCTCTCTCTCAAATCAATTTAAAAAAATATATGATCGTTAAAACAAGGCTAAACAGAAAGTATGTACTAAAAGAGAAAGTCATTCCAGAAAGCATAAGTTAAGCTCATATTGCTTAGGAAAATAAAGAAGCAATCTTTATTTAATCAGCTCATAGAATTAGTATTTTTACCCCAGACCAAATATTGTATTTTAAGAAGAAAAGACATAAACAGATGCAGGAAAAAAACAGAACTGTGGACTCATGAGGTACAGACACCTTATGAAAGCTCTGTCTTTGTGCTGTGGTCTCAGTCATGGCTGAGCCTGGGGCTGCTGCCAGTGGAAAGGAAAAAATTACCTTTTCTAAATGAAAAAGTCAGGCAGTATTTCATTGCAGCTCATACATTTGAAATACATTTTACTTCTTTATTTTTTATTCCAAGTTATTTATTGTAGAAAATTTTGAACAATGAAAAAAAGAATTATGATGTATACCTCATTTTAAAATTATTTTATAAAGGCAATACATACTATTTGTGAAATACATAAAACTGTAATATTAAAAATTAATAGTCTCACCATTCATGGTAATCACTTTCAAATATATATCTTTATACATTTGGGAATATACCCTAATCTACAACTAGTATTCTGGTTTTTTCCTCTACTTACTATTATGGCCTAAGTATTTGTCATGATAGTGAAAATGCTTTTTATCCATTTGTGATGTCTGCTTATTGTTCCAGTGGTCAGATTGGATGAGAATAGTACTTTAATTCATGTTTAATGAGAGCATAAATTAGTGTAACATTTCTGAAAAGCAGCTTAGCAATATGTATCAAGAGCCTTAAAAAACACCCATAACATTTGCTAGCCCATTAATTCCATTTACTAAGAATCTTTTCTAATTTCTAATATAATAATTGCATATAGGAACAAATGTTTTTACATAAGAGTATTCATTATAGTAGTAGATGTAATAGTGAAACCTGACTATTCAACAAGAGGAAATTAGTTAAGCAAATTATGGTAAATTCATATGATATATAACTATTAAGATAATATTCAAGAGCATTTAAAATTATGTGGTGAAATGCTCATTATATGCTAAATGAAAAAATAAGAATTGAAGTTATATTTATAATCTCAGTTTGTTTTTTAAAATAAGAATTTTTATATGTATTCCATATATAGAAAGATAAAAGAAACCCACTGAAATATAATCTAGATAGTGGGATTGAAACTGGGTTTTAATTTTCTTTCTTTATTTTCTTTATTGATTAAGGTATTACATATGTGTCCTTATTCCCGCATTGCCCTCCCACTTCCCCGCTCATGCCCTCACCCCCCCAATGTTTAATTTTCTTTATAATTTTTCATATTTTCTTAATTTTTTCTCCAAGGAGGATGTGCTATTTTTATAATCAGAAAAATATAAGAAACATTTTTTAACAATCTTTTGGCTCAGATTTTAATTCCAAACTTTGCTGTCCTTTTCAGATATAAGAGTAAGATTTCCAACTGTGATCAAAAAACTTCCCTTCTCCTTTTGAATTCCCCCACCCCAAAAATAGGAAGAGGGCAAGAAATTTGGGTTTGCATTTGCAATCCAAGGCTGAAGCTGCAGCAGCAAAGGTATTACCAGCACAAAAGGGTTCAGGCAAAGGGAAAGAGCTTGGGAAATAATTGAAAATAAGATAATTGGGTAGGTGCAGGGCTTGCTGTCTTGGGATTGAGTGACAAAGCTGCCTGCCAGGAGAAGCTAGTGTCTTTGCAACTGGGTTCCAACCCTACAGAACTGTCCTCCCTGTGTTGAAACCCCAGTGATTTTTAATCCCACTGATGGTCACATGGAGGCAAGCATGTTTTCCTTAAAATATCACCCTGTGTAACTGAAGTAAATATTAGTAGCTACCATTTAATAAGGGCCTTAATAATCCCGAAAAGAGGTAATTATCAGCCCCATTTTCTAGCTGGAGAAGTTGAGGCTCAGAGAGGTTAAGTACCTTTCTCACAATCACAAAAGTAATTAGGGTTGTTAGAATCCAAACTCAGGTACATCTGACTCTAAAATATGTCTGTGCTTGTTCTATTGCTTCTCCACTCACTGTTCTGAACTTTATTTTTTCTTGTGTAAAAACACTTCCACTGATTATTTTATTCAGAAAAACAAACAAACAAAAGACAGAGACAAAAACCCTGGTCATTTGCAGTATCTGTCAGCTTTCAATTTGGCTCTCCTGTCCAGAAGTGTTTCATGCAAAAATCCATCTCTCTGGGCCTTTTTAAGAATTTTACTGCCTTCTTTGCTTATTTTAAGTTTCAGGTCTTGGAAGCTCTGAAATTTCTTTACATAATTGATTTCACACTGTTTAACATTTCCTTTTTCTTCCTCTGGGATGTCATCTTTTTTCTTAGTTTCTCTTTCAGCACAGGATCTAATCTTTATCATTTCTTCTCCTGCTGTTTTACTTTTTGCTTCTGTATTGCCGGCTTCATTGCATCTGATAAAGCAGCTATTTGAGGCCAATAAAGCCATTTTCCCATCTTGAAAGACTGGTTCCCATTGTTCTCTTGGTCCAATAGCATCTGAACGCCCAACAAGAAGTCCATCTGAATTTATACCAAGGTATTTTCCATAGCCAGATTTTAGGGCACTTCCGGAATCAGACAGTTTGACAGCTATAAACTGCTCCGGGGACTAGGGCCTTCATCCGCTTCTTTATGTGGAGTTCCCAGTGTAAAAAGTCCATTGTCAAGTGCATGTATGTAGGTTCCCTTATCCATTTCAATAGCTAAGGTTCCTGAAATTTCACCAAAGTTTGTTACTGTCCACCAGATCCCAACAATATCAAGTTGGGTTTCTTCATCATCTTCTCTTTTTCTCTTCTTCTTGCTCTTTTTCTTCTTACTCTTGGCCTTGGTTCCCTTCAGCACAAGTTTGGTGGACTTGACGTAGGAGTATTTTGCCATGGTTCTGGTGACGCTTCTCTTTTTCATGCATCTTAACCATACTCAGTCTATCCATGATCATGGTGTAGTTCTCTATTTATTCAAGCCCTCGTTTATCTCTTTCAAAAACTTTATATATTTTTTCTTCATAAAATCTTGCATTTTTGTTGTTCTTGTCACGTGTTCCTAATCCTACCCCTCCTGCCCAATTTCGCTCCAGTGCCTATCAGTACTAAGGGATAGAAAAAACTGATTGAACTATGCCCAGTAGCTTGCTAACTCTCCATGTTCCAAACTCCTCTAATTTTTTTTCTTTTTTCAAATTTCTTTTTAGTTTTTTTATTTCAAGAAAAATTATTTTAAATATAATAGTGTTACATGCAGTAAATCTTAATATTTCAAGAAAAACCATCTTAAATATAATGTTACATGCAATAAATGCCAATTATTCAAAAAATGATCTTACATATAATAATATTACATGCAATAAACATTAATATTTCAAGAAAAAAAGAATTTTAAGTATAATATTACCAAAACTGTACTAACATAGTATGATATAATAAAAGTTGTAGGAAATATTAACAATTTGCAAATAACAGGATTACTTCTATTATATTCTGGAATTTTTTTTCCCCTCTGTCTCTATTTTTGTTCATTAGTTTATGTTGTTCATTATATTCCACAAATGAGTGAGATCATATGATATTTATCTTTCTCCGACTGCCTTATTTCACTTAGCATGATGCTTTTAAAGTCTATTTTGCTGGATATGAGTATTGCTACTCCATCTTTTTTTTCTTTTCCATTGTCATGGAACATTTTTTTCCATCCCTTCACTTTCATCCTATGTGTGTCTTTTGTTTTGAGGTGGGTTTCTTGTAGACAGCATATAGTTGGGTCATGTTTTTGTATCCATTCAGCTACCCTACACCTTTTGATTAGAGCATTTAATCCATTTACATTTAGGGTTATTATTGAGAGGTACTTATTTATAGTCATTTTAATTCTGTATGGCTAGGTTTCTCTCTCTCTTTACAGCAATCCCTTTAGCATTTCTTGTATTGCTGGCTTGGTGGTGATGAACTCCTTTAGCCTTATTTTTGTCTGGGAAGCTCTTTATTTGACCATATTTTGAATGATAGCCTTGCTGGATTTGGTAATTTTGGTCTCAGATCCTTGCTTTCCATTACCTTGAGTACTTCATGCCATTCTCTTCTGACCTGTAGAGTTTCTGATGAGAAATCAGGTGTCAGCCTTATGGGAACTCCTTTGTAGGTAACAGTTTTCTTTTCTCTTGCTGCCTTTAAGATTCTCTCTTTGTCTTTAATTTTTGGCATTTTAATTATGATGTGTCTGGGAATGGGTCTGTTTGGGTTCTTCTTGCTTGGGGTTCTCTGTGCCTCTGGAACTTGTGTGACTTTTCCCTTTACTAGGTTAGGGAAGTTTTCTACCATTATTTCTTCTATTCCTTTCTCCCTTTCTGCCTCTTCTAGCACACCTACTATTCTAATATTGTTACGTTTCACATTTCACATTGTCCCACAGCTCCCTTAAGCTGTCTCTGTTTTTTAATTGTTTTTTCTTTTTGGTTCTCTAATTGAGTGATATTTTCAACTCCACCGATTCGATCCTCAGCTTCCCCTAATCTGCTGTGTATTCCTTCCAATGTGTTCTTTGTCTTGTCATTCTTTATCTTAGACTGTTCTTTTTTCATGGTTACTATATCTTTTTTCATACTGTTGAGCATTTTTAACATCTTTACTCTGAACTCTGTTTCAGATAAATTTCTTATCTCTGCTTCATTTATCTCTTCTTCTGGAGAATTCCCTAGTTCTTTTATTTGGGGGTTGTTTCTTTGTTTCCTAATTTTGGTTGTCTGTTTGGGTTTGTGACTATGTATTAGGTAGATCCTCTACACCTCTCAATCTCTAGTGCAGGACAGTGTTAAAGGCTGTTTCTGACTAATTGGATCAGGCAAAGACTCAAAGCTTCCAGAGACGGTCTCTGTCTACAGATTAATAGGATTCTGACTTGAATTGCCCCCAGGCAGTCATCCTCAGGTGTGGAGAGAGTTTTTTCAACAGGGTGGGCAGTTGCTTCTTCCTGGAGGCTAATTGTTAGTTTTAATCTCTTAAGTGGCCTCAGTGTGTGTCAACTGTCTTCCCTCCAGGCAAGGCAGATGTCTATGTGGGAAAGATGTCCTCCACTGTGTGATGAAATGACTCGGCCTAGGAAACTTGGGCTGTCTGCCTTCTGAGCTCTATCCCCTGAGTCCCCAGTCCTGGGTTCTGCTCTCACAGCTCCAGTCTACTTCACCCTCCCTCTGCCAGAGCATAAGGTGGGTGGCTCCACAGGGAATTTTTGTGCATTGGCCCTTTACGAGGGTGCCTGAACTTTCAGCTGCCGCTCCCTGGCAGACAGCACCTCACTGCTTTTCACAGCTAGATACTATGTGGTTACCCTCCTCAGTTTGGTGCTCTCTGCTGGGGAGCTCAGCTTTGGGATTAGATCTCAAGAGTTCTCAGTGGCTCCCCTCCACAGCTGAGATAGCTCTTCAGGACTTCAGTTGCCTTCTGTAGATGCCTGGCCAGCCCGTTCGCCCCTCCTACCAGACTCTATGCGGTCTCCATCTTCGGTCCTTGGGTATCAGGGTTCTCTCCTGTGAGTTTTCCATTGATTATTCAGGAAGCCTTTCTGTATTTCAGTTGTAATTCCAGCTTGTTCCTGGGAGCATGTCTGTGCAGCATCCTCCTATTCTGCCGCCATTTTTAATCTCTCCCGACTAATTTCTGACCATAGCCGCACCCATAGGTCCTACAGTACCGCATCCTTCTCACGGGACTGAAGGTGGCCCGACTCGCTGTTCTGAACTCTTGAAGTGGCAAATTGGAAGAGTAGTTTTGAGCAGGACCCTAGAACTTATGTTCTAGATCAGTGATTTTTTTCAACCAGTGTGCCACAAGAATTTTTAAAACATGCACTCCCTGACTATTTAGTCAACAGCACTGACTTCTTTTTTCCTCAGATTGTCAAATAAAAAAATTACAATAGCCAACACAACAATAGCCTTCTGGTGTGAATACCCTGTCTTGAACCATAAATATGTAGGTCATATAATAGATTTGCATCTTATTGGTCACATTACATAATAAGGTTGCTTCTGATTGGTTAATTCTTGGTACCAGAAATCCTTATATACAAGTACAGGCACCTGATTTTTTAAAGTCACTTTGGAGCAAAAGGGTAGGTAATAACTATCCTATCTAATAAAGAGGGAATATGGTAATTGACCCTCATGCTGTCACAAAGATGGCGGTGCCCACAGCCAATAAGGAGGGAATATGCTAGTTGACTGCCCGCCCTCAAAGATGGCAGCGCCCACAGCCAATAAGAAGGGAATATGCTGTCAAACCGGTTTGGCTCAGTGGATAGAGCGTCGGCCTGTGGACTGAAGGGTCCCAGGTTCGATTCCGGTCAAGGGCATGTACCTTGATTGCGGGCACATCCCCAGTGGGAGGTGTACAGGAGGCAGCTGATCGATGTTTCTCTCTCATCGATGTTTCTAATTCTCTATCCCTCTCCCTTCCTCTCTGTAAAAATCAATAAAATATATTTGGGAAAAAAAAAGAGGGAATATGCTAATTGACTGCCTCGCCCTCAAAGATGGCAGATTTGGGAAAAAAAAAGAAGGGAATATGCTAATTGACTGCCTCGCCCTCAAAGATGGCAGCGCCCAGAGCCAATAAGGAGGGAATATGCTAATTAACTGCCACACCCTCAAAGATGGTGGCGCCCACAGCCACAAGATGGCCGGGAGGGGAGGGCAGTTGTGGGCAATCAGGCCAGCAGGGGAGGGCAGTTAGGAGTGACCAGGCCAGCAGGGGAGGGCAGTTGGGGGCGACCGGGCCGGCAGGGGAGCGATTAGGTGCCGATCGGACTGGCAGGGGAGGGGTTAGGAGGTGATCAGGCTGGCAGGCAGGCAAGCAGTTGGGAGCCAACAGTCCTGGATTGTGAGAGGGATGTCCAAGGGGTCCCAGATTGGAGAGGGTGCAGGCTGGGCTGAGGGACACCAACCCCCAGTGCACGAATTTCATGCACCGGGCCTCTAGTTATTATATTTTTGTGAATCAGTCAAAGTTATACCTATTTTCTTAGATGGGCAAAAAATATATTTTTTGGTGTGCCACAGAATGTTAGCAATTAGTTTATGTGTGCCAAGAGATAAAAAAAGGTTGAAAATTGCTGTTCTAGATAAACTTCTAGTAAGGTCTGTGGTTTTGCATGTTGGTTTCTTAGCTTTGGTTTTTGTAATGTTTGTTAATCAGATTATACATTGTTAGTCCTTCTCAGATAATGTGTTCCAGAATTACTAAAAATCTTTTGATTAATTTATCAAAGGATGTGTATTTTTCTTTCTCTGATTGCCAGTAATCCCCCAAATTCCCATTTACCCACTTCAGCTCTGTAATTGTAAAATGGGAAACAGCAGCTTTATTTATAGTGCAGTTAAAATACGTGTGAGGAAATAAGGCTCATTTGTGTACCCAGCTGAGCTCGGTCATCAGGCATCTTAGAGGGGGTATCAGTGCCCCAGGTCATCTGTACATGGCAGTCATGCCAGTGACAGCTTCAGTACATTTTCTGTTGGAAGTAGAAAGAAAAGAGATCTAACTTCCCTCATACTGTCATTATTTCATCCTGTTTGTGGTGATTATGATCCTGCTGACAGAATAGAGATGTGAACACTTCTAAGTATAACCCCACTGGTCCTGGCATGCCATCCATCTCTCTGTGGAAACATCTAGACAGCCATGAGGAAAATGGATCAGAAAGGCATGCTTTTGCCACAAGTTAGTTTCCCTGTTCTTTTAAGATCCTCTCCCTCTGTCACTCACACCTAATCCCTTTTCATGAAGGACTAGAAAGCGGGGTGGAGGCCGGAGCCTGGGATGTGGAGTGCCTTTTTGATCTCCTTTCCTCTTCAGGGGAGGCACCTCCCTGATACTTCCTGAAAACAGTCTGGCAAGGTACTCCAGTGTAATTAACTTGGCTGTTGAGCTCACAGGTTTGTCTTAATAACCATCTAGATTAGAGTGAGTAGTCATGCTGCACATACTTTTTGTAGTAAAGTTAGCTGGATAACAGAGGCACAGTGGAGTGGGCAGTTACTCAAACTCGTGGAAAAGATAAAATGTGATCTGTCAAATATCTCTTTGGATGTGAAGATTAGAACCCAGTGTTCTTGGCCCTGTTCCAGTTTTTAAACCACTAAATATTGAGCATTAGATAAAAAGCAACCTTAAAGGAATAATTTATTAAAAATTTTGAGTATCCTACAGTTTGGAAATTCTCCGATAAGGTCCCCAAACCACCAAAGTCTGTCTGTCGTCTAAAAAAGCAGATGTTTTCTCCTGTGACTGGTCTTTGCTCATATACTTTCATTTACTTAAAGTTTTTATTCCACTGTCATGTAAAAAGACTTTCAATGTATTTACTAATGAAAAAAATTCAACCAGTGCCCACATAGTAATCAGTGAAGTCTGGTTATTACATAGTACTTTTTCCTGATGGAATGTTGGTTGTGCAGCACAAAGCCACAAATAGTAATTTTTTTATTTTTGTCTTTTTTTGTTTGTTTTCTTCTTGGTAATCTTTTTTTCTTTTTGTTCATCTTTTTGGTAATGTTTTTAAAGAAGGAAAAGAAAAACTGTTGATTCTTCTCCATACTCCACAGATATCTGGTGATTTCAGAAAAACTTGAGGAGATTAAGTCTTTCCGGGAGTTGACCTGCCTGGATCTTTCCTGTTGCAAGCTTGGAGATGAACATGAACTCCTAGAACATCTCACCAATGAGGCCCTATCTAGGTATTACCACCATTTGCAGATGAATTGTTTTATTATTTTTTAGAAAGGATGATCCAATAGGATCATCTTCAAGAATACCGATTACCTCCCAAGTCTGTTTATTTGCTAAGTTTTTTCGTAAACTTTTTCAATTTCCATTTACGTGATAGGAGCAATATAGATTAGATAACTCTTATGATTTCATTTTTCTAAATAACCTTTAACATGTAGTACTTGAAGCTACCTGGGCTGAAAAATTATTTTTTCCTTTATTTGTCTAGTCCTAGTTTAATCTAGCAAGAGATGAGAAATCATACAATTTTCCAAAGTCATCATTTTCTATTTTAACTATCAATGAACTATAAATTATTTAAAAAGTCAACTATTAAAGACAGCCAAATACATCTTTTTCAAGAACCATAATTTAAAGAAATCACCCAGTTCATACCATTCACAAATAATTAGATTGATCTCAGTCTGACTGGCAGACAGGAGGCCGAATGGATTTCTTTGTGGTTTCATAAACACCCAGAGGGATAGCAGCGTTACCTGGCTCTAACCCACTTGCTGGGGCCTTCCTAGGACAGACACCTACATACTGCTCTGTGCAAAGGTATTTTTGTGTGAGGTTAGTAGAAGTTCAGGTTTCCTGTTGTGCATGGACACTGAAGCACATTAATACACCAGTGTCAGTTTAGCTGGATGGACTGGGTTATAGGTATACCTTAAAAACTCAATCTGAAAATCTGCATTTATAAAGCTAGTTAAACTTAGAGGATTGTTTTGCCAAAAGAATTCTCAAAGGAGTTCTTTAGCAGACTTTCCTGACATTTAGAGTATTTTTGGTTCCCACAGCATTTGTCAGGAATGCAGCTTTTGTGTTTAATAAGTGTATATTTATCTCCCTAATGAAGTCCATTTATCTCATTCCACCATATACCTCTAGTGCCTTCTGCCATCTGAGATTAATACTATATGACACTTTGATCCCTAAGTTAACCCTCACTTAGTAACTGAAATAGCACCAAAAGATCTTTAGCTTCGTTGAATGCATTGAGTATGAAATAGCAGGGGGTAGAGGATATTTAATATTTTTAAATGAACTTTAATGAAAGTGTGTTACATACCTGGACTTTCTCAAACTCTCTTAAATAATTTATTTATGGACTTTGTTTTCCTAGTGTAACTCAACTCCACTTGAAGGATAATTGTTTATCTGATGCCGGGGTACGGAAAATGACAGCACCAGTTCGAGTGATGAAAAGAGGCCTTGAAAATCTAACATTATTAGACTTATCTTGTAAGTTTTATTAGAAATTATAGATTATTAATGTTGAAAGATGGCCTTAGAAATCATCTAGTTCTTCCCTTCATTTTAGAAGTGATAAATTGAGGGGACTTTGCTAGTTCCACAGCAAGTTAGTGATAGAGCAGGACTAAAGCCAAAGGCTCTTGACTTGTGGCTAAATACCTCTCTTGGCATGTTGGCACTTCTTTACAAGTAGGAAAAGCTCATATGGATTCATCCATGCCACTCACTGTGTACAGACAAGGCAGCCTTTCATCATATTCGTAGCATCTATTTGGTTTATCTTTACTTTCTTTGAGTTGCTGACTCATAGTGTCTCATCTAGGTCCTTTTTTGTTGTTGTTAATCCTCACCTGAGGATATTTTTTCCACTGATTTTTAGAGTTAAAGGAAGGAAAGGAGGGAAAGAGAGAGAGAAACATTGACATGAGAGAGACACATCGATTGGTTGCCTCCCACATGTGCCCCTACCTGGGCTGGGGAGCTGCATTCAAGGTACGTGCCCTTGACCTTTCAGTCTGCAGGCTGATGCTCTAACTACTGAGAAAAACCAGCCAGGGTAAAGTTTTTTGTTGTGTTTTTTTTTAATCAGTATTTGCTTGATGAAAATCTGAATGAATCCACAATTGGAATAACTTACTCAGGGTTATCCAGATACTGACACCAATGGTAGAAAGTTGATAGGGATCATTTACAGTTTAACTGAGCATCCTTTGAATGTATGGCAGGATAGTATGGTGTCAGAAAAATAGAAGGAGCAGGGTTTGAGGTCAGAGGACACTCCTTGCTCTGCTACTCTTATTAGCGGCTGTGTGCCCTTGGACAAGTTATTTAACCTCTCTGAGCCTTGGTTTTGACTTCTGTAACATGAAAATAATAATGAATGTCCTGCCTTCCTCCCACGAAAGTGTATTCATTCAACAAATATTTTTTGAGCATCTACAATGTGCCAGGAATTGTGCTTATGGCCTTGAGGGCTCAGTGCTAAATATAGGACGCTGATGTGAGAAAGTAATATGTAAGAAAGGCTTTGGGAAAAAAAGCAAATTAGTAAGAGTAATAATAATCTCTGTGTTAAAGTGCCTTTGAAAGTCTTCTTAAAACAAATCTTTTTACTTTGGAAGTGAAACAGCCATGAACAAAGTCTGACGAACCATTTTAATGCATGTTTATGTATGTTGTTTCCATATGGTTGTAAATTAAACCCTTTGGGATAATTACCTGGTTCATTTTTTTTTCTGCTAAACCCCCATCTCCTAAAAAGTTAGAGCTATAAAGGATCTTAAGGATCATCTGGTGTGTGACTCCTTCACATTACAGATAGAATAAAGATAAGATTCCTGTATTTTATTTATTCTGAAAAGTTTGTTCACTCAATATTTTATCATTGTGTGGCCTTTTTTTCTGACCTTACTGTTGGCATTTTGGCAGTAAACTGTAACTGAATACTACCTGTTTTTGACATCTAGGTAACCCTGAGATCACAGATGCAGGAATTGGATACCTCTTTTCTTTTAGAAAACTAAACTGCTTAGATATCTCTGGGACAGGGCTCAAGGTAGGACTTTTACTCCCTTCTCTTATTTTTTCACACTCACAATTTGATATTTTGCTTCTGTTAATTGGAGTTTAGAAAAGGCTGGTATTTATGATGGTGCTTCTTTCCTACTGAAAACTAGTACTAATTGACCAGATGTGTGGGCTTCCTGTTGTCTTTCCCTACTAGGACATCAAAGCTGTCAAACACAAGCTCCAGACCCACATAGGCCTTGTCCACTCTAAAGTGCCTCTGAAGGAATTTGATCATAGTAACTGCAAGACCGAGGGCTGGGCTGACCAGGTACTGTATATCCCTCCCCCGCCCCCCCACTCCCCGCATACACAGTTAATATGGCTTTTTATTTTAATTCTAAGTGTCTTATTCAACACTTTGAACAAACATTAATCCTTTGGTATTTCTTGGCTGAATTGTCATCTTTATGTCAAATCAGAGATACTGATGGCCTATAACTGACCCAGCTACTTAAGGAAAGGAATTAGATGCTAGTCCTTAAATCTCATGCTCTAGTCACTAGATTGTGCCTTATCCTTATTGGACCTAGGAGAAAATGTCATCTTACAAAGATTCCGAAAATAAGTGAATTCTGCCCTGCTAATGAAAAAAGCAGTATGACCCAGCTTCAGAAGGACAGATTCTCTTAGCAGTCTAGAAAGAGAGTAAGTCACACTAAGAACGATTCAAACCTGACTCCTCCTCTTCGGGGCACATTTCTTACATCTCAGAGCCTTAGTGAGGAACGGTCTTTTTTGTCCTCCTCTCACTGACTATTCCTGTTTTTATCTTCTTGGTTGAACTTTACTTTGACTCAGTCTTGTCTTCTTGATGGTCTCCCCCAACTTGGTCAAGTACAGGCTTAAGTAGGAAGTCAGAGGTAACCAAGTATACAGCTCCAGTAGATGCCTGCCTGCCTGTGGTTGGTGCCTTTCTCCTTCAAACACTTTAAACCAATGTTACTTGGTGTGGAGGCCTAGGGGGCTCCCCAAACTGTTTTGTTATAGATTCCTCCTTGGCTCAAACTATAACACATGATGGTGGACCTATCCCAACTGTCTGATTGTAGTATCACCTCCCTATAGGTCAGTGGTTCTCAACCTTCTGGCCCTTTAAATACAGTTCCTCATGTTGTGACCCAACCATAAAATTATTTTCATTGCTACTTCATAACTGTAATGTTGCTACTGTTATGAATCGTAATGTAAATATCTGATATGCAGGATGGTCTTAGGCGACCCCTGTGAAAGGGTCGTTTGACCGCCAAAGGGGTCGCGACCCACAGGTTGAGAACCGCTGCTATAGGTCAACAGGGAAGGGGGTGCTGGTGAGTCCGAATTTCAGAAGCACTTTGAAGTTGGTCCAGAAAATGCATGCTGAAATAATTATCATAGTGCATTGCCAAACACAATTGTAGCACTGGATTAATCCTAGACATAGCCAGTAGTGGACTTGGGGCAGGTAGGTGTGGGATGGTCATGTAAAGGCTTGAGATAGTTTGGTAGCAGGTTGTCATGGTGGAAAGAGCATAGGCTATGGAGTCAAAGATACCTGGATTTGGGGTCTTGGCTTGACAAGCCAGTAGCAATATGACAAGGCAACTTTGAGTCTCTGTTTCTTCATCTGTAAAATGCAGAAACCAGGACCTCTCTTGCAGAGCTTGGTAAGGGTGAAGTAAAATAAAGTAAAATACCTAGCAGCCTGGCCTGGAAGTAAGCAAATTGGACTCTGCAGCTTCATGCCATGCAACCTCAGCCTGGCCCCTGCGGCTTGGCTGCAGAGCTTTATCTGTCTCTTGTTGATCCCTTATTAAAACTGTTTCAGGCTGACTCTGGGCTGCTCCTGCTTCATTCTCAGCAGGTGACACGGAAAAAATGAGGCTATCTGACAGGAGTCCCCTTCCTTCCCTATCTCTGTCTTAAATTTTCTCCATTTCTTCAACCATATTCTACTTTCCTCCTATCTAAGGGGAATAAGAATGCCACTTTTATTTCACTGATAAGCCTTTAGTTTTTCCTTTTTATCTTTCAGTTCTGTTCCTTACAATCACCAGCTTCCTCTGTGATATTTTACTAATAATTATTTCCCTCTACTGCCCACCACTGCATCTTCAGTCTCACCCTGTGTTGGCTGTTTTCTTTCTGTGTATAAACATACTTGAGCTACTCTTACTCTAATATGTTCCTCATCCCCCAACAGAACTGTGGATTGTTTTCTGTTATCTCTCCCACCTCCTCACTGTCTCCTCAGTTCTTAGTCCTTTGTGATCTAGGTCTGGCCTCCATCCTCTACTGTTCTCTTAAAGGTAGTATGTGAGCTCATTTTCACCTGCCTTAGCTTTTCTGCTTAGCTTTTTCTCTCATGACCTTTCTCCTAGCTCTCCCCTAACTTTTTCATTTCTGCCTCTAGCTCTTGCTGATTCCTCTTCTCTTCTCGGATACCTCCACTCACTCTCCTGGTGATCATAACTGTCCCGTGGGGATGATTCCACCTTCTCTCACACACTTGACCCATTCCTACATATCATCCATAAATCTCTACCTGGCACCTCAAATCCAGCTTGTCCAGAACCTGACTCATTTTCTTCTTCCCTGTCCCCAAACTCTTCTTATTGACATGCTTATTTCTTAGTGAAACTGCTGTTTTCCCAGTTGCCCACTGAATCACAGGTTCAGCCCATCCATCTTGGCATTCTCTGAGATCTGTCCACATTTCCCATAATCAGGAAAGTATCATAGAAGGGCTGACAACTAATATTTATTGAGTGCTTTTTGTGTGCCAGACCCTTCATGTATGTTATCTCATTTAACAGATGAAGAAATTGAGATCAGAAATTAAATCACTTGCCAAGGGTCCCCTGGCTAGTAAGTAGTAGTGCTAACTCTGGAATTGTATTCTTAAACTGTGTCATACTGCCTCTGTGTCCTGAAAATGTTTTTCTTTATGATCATTTCATTGCATACCATGAAAAGTATTAAGTTTAGTTCTTGTTACTCATGGTATATGTGAAATAATCGTTTATTTATATAAAGTTTATACCTGGCCAGATTTCCAAAAGAATTTGTAGTAGCTTATAATAAAAATACATTTGTAATGGTTTTAAAAATGGCAGCTGATCATGAAGTGTCTTGAGAATATGGAAATGTGGGCATTTTACACACTAGAGTTTTGAGTTATACTGATGTATTTTAAGGCATGAGGGTGAGACTAGAAATGTGTGAATAGTAATGACTAAGGTTTCAAATTTTAGTATTTAGTTTAAGAATATGCAATTTATTTCTAGCTTGGAATAGAGATGAAAAGAGGGAGTGAGCATTGTGGATTTTTCCTGAGTCATGCAAATACACATACCTAACAGGTTTGTCTTCTGACTGGCTCTTGCATTAAAACAGAAAATCCAGGCTTGACTTGATTCTTATTCTTATCACCAATCATCTGAAGTAAGATTACCGCAGGAGTTTGTGTTTATGGAAAGGGAACAAAGGGGAACAAGGAAGGTTTGAGATTAAAAGCTTGAGATTTTGTTCAGATTCAAATCTTTCCAAATGCATTTTAGATTGTTCTGCAGTGGGAGCGTGTGACTTCGGAAGCTGTGAAGCCACGAGATGCCTTGGAACCTCGAAAGGCAGCTCAGCACTTCTGTGAGAGATTCCCTTTTCTTTGGAATTCCTTTTCGCCCTTAGGTTTTTTGCACCCTTAAAGCAGTTAACTTGTTTTCACACAATGGGAAAATTAATTGTGATAGTGCCAACTTAATTAGATCACCAAGACTTGTGTTCTCAAATAGTTTAGAGCAGCAGTCGCCAACGGTGGTCCGCGGACCACTGGTGGTCCGTGAGGTCCAAAAGGTTGGCAACCGGTGGTTTAGAGTACACTTTGAACACCAGTACAAGGAAAATAGCTTATTAAGTGTATGTATGTATTTATATCCCATTTTGTTCCAAAAATGATTTGCATAGATAGATTACAGAGATTCAAAAGGAATTAAGTGTAGCCAAAAGGTAGAAGCAACTCAAGTGTTCATCAGTAGATTAATGGATAAACAAAATGTATTATTTACATACAGTGGAATATTATAATAAGCCTTAAAAGAGAAGGAAATTTTAACACATGCTATAACATGAAGACATTATGGTAAGTGAAATAAGCCAATCAGAAAAAGACAAATATTGTGTGATTCTTTCTATATGAGGCTTTTAGAATAGTCAGGTTCATAGAGACAGAGTGGAAGAGTGGTTGTCAGGGACTGGAGAGGGGTGGTAGGGAGTTACTGTTTAAATAGGTATGGAGTTTTAGTTTTGCAAAATGAAACAGTTTAGTGTTAGATGGTGGTCGTGGTAGCACAGCAATGTGAATGCACTTAATGCCACATACTGTAAACTTAAAAATGCTTAAAATGGTGAATTTATTTATGTATATTTTACCATAACTTTTAAAAATGAGGCTAAGTGATAATATCGGAGTGAAGGGAAAATAAAGGTAACAAAACAAGAAGCTAGGGTATGCCAAAAAAGAAATACATAATGTCATATCGTTTGCTAGAGTTGTGCCATAAATTTGGCTCTTGGAAGACAGTCAAGTCCTGATTTTTAATAATAATAGCTAATATTTTTTAGCTTTTACTGTGTGCCAAGCCTTGTGCTGAGCACTCTATGTACATTATTTCATTTATCTTTATATCACCCTTATGAAATAGGTTTTATATCCCTACAAAGATGAGAAAACTGATCCTCAAGTCACTTGCCCAAGGTCTCTTATCCAGGAAGTGGCAGTGTACACGCCTTCAACCTGTGCTAGTGCATATACCACTGTTACTTTATAGGGCACTCAAAAGGGAATAAAATTAATGCAAACATCTCCCTGTTTGGACCTATGTTGTTTTCTTTGGATCATCTTTCTAGACCTAGGCAGGCATTAGCATGCCAGCGTAGTAAACTCATCACCCTTCCTTTTGTCGCTCTTACAGATGGGAAGCGGGCTCAAACAGAAACCCCAGGGAAGTGTCCCCTGGCAGACACCCACATGAACTCTTCTGAGAAACTCCAGTTCTATAGAGAGAAAGCCCCAGACTGCCATGGGCCATTGTTGAAACTCGAAGCTGTCTCAAGCCAGGAGTCAAAGAAGAGCAAGAAGAGAGGTTTTGAGGAGCCAGAAAAGGAACAGAGTAACTCTTCACAGTCTTCAAAGCAGAAATATGTGTGTCTTGCTGTGGAAGACTGGGACTTGTTAAACTCCTATTGATTGTTGACCTCCCCCGCCCCCCCCCCGCCCCATCTCTAATGTATGAGGAAAGGGGCTGATGTTTTCCTCTTTGTTTGAATTTACCTATGACATTAGCATAGCAAGCAGATATTTCTACTTTTGTGGTGGGGGAGGGGAATGCTATGGAAGTATGTAATAATTTCTAATGTATATTTTCAATACATAGTAATTTTTTCAAATAAACGTTTTTGCTCTCCTTAAGTTCTGCTTATGAAATATGGACTGGAGCCACAGGAAATAATACTGGTTTGGGATGAAAGGCCATCTGAAATAACAAGGCAGCTTAGCTTGATTTGTTGCCACCCCAATGTGGCCCAGCCAATAATATATATATATATATATCCACCATATTGAATGTCCCATGGAAGAAAGGTATTAGCTCCAATTCAGAGTTAAGAAAACTCAGCCTCAAGTTAAGTGAGTTGTTCAAGGTCACAGAGCTTATAAGTGACAGAACCAGAATCTATACTCCTTTCTGTCCAACTCTAAAGCCCACTCTGTGACAGTGCCTCTTAAATAATAGTTACCATTTATTAAAGTCCCAGCCATTATGTCTGTGAAGTAAAGCACCAGAAATCTTCACAGCAGTTCTCCAAAGTATTATCACCTCTGTGTGACAGATGAGGAACCTGAGACCAATGACCAGTTGGACCAGTGTTTCTCAAGCTTTATTGTGCATGCAGTCACCTAGGGGTCTTGTTAGAATGCAAATTCTGATTCAGTAGGTCCAGAGTGGGACGTGAGGTTCAGCATTTGGAAAAAGTTTCCGGATGATGCCACTGCTTCTAATTTGTGGACTGCACTTTGAGTAGCAAGTCTCTAGACCTTCTCTGTCTATATGGTAGCCCCTAGTCACATGGCCATTGAACACTTGAAATGTGGCTAGACCAAATTGAGATGTGCAGTAAAATACACACCGGATATCAGGCATTGAAGTACAAAAGAATGAATGAAAGATATCTGCATTTTTTTAAAAATATATTCCATGTTAAAATGGTAATTTGGGGATTAAAAATGTTCACTTCACCTGGTTTTCTAATGTGGCTACTACAAAACGTAACATGGCTTGCATTCGTGATTTGCATTATATTTCCACTGGACAGTGCTGCTGTAGATCGTATTCCATTCCTAAAAGCTAGCTTAGAGTAAGGCCTGGCAAGTAAAAGGAAGGGAATGAGAATACCTTAAAGGAATTAAGAAAATTGGCCCAGCCAATTTTGTGACAGGTTTGACATTTGGAAATGCTCTAGAGTTTAACAGGGATTTTAATAAAGGTAGATCTTGGATCTGGTATGTATTTTCTATTCAGAGTTAGGCAGGGTGCTAGCCTGTTGCCCAGGATCATATCAAAAGCTCTGATTTGTGAAAGTTATAAAATGAAAAGCAGTGTAGATTGTTTTCTTTATAGAAGTAAAGTTGGGTTTTAAAGTGTCATTTGGTGGACAGCAGCACACCTTGCCAACTTCCTAGTGCAAATAAACAGCCTTGCCAAACTTAGCACATGTTGTTATGCAAACTTAAGTCTAATTTGACCACGTCCCACTCCCACCACCCCCACTGTGGTGTTGCAGTGCTATACCAGCAAGTGGCATCTGGAATTACTTCTCAAACATTCCACCTGTTCAGATCATTTTGGAAGGCAAATCTTCCTTCAAAGCAATTTCTGATTACTTCTTTTATAAACACAGTTTACTTTTAGAGCTAAGGTTTCATTTTCTTTAATCCTTCTTTTCTTTCAAGGATCTCATTTTCTCTGCTGGTGATTCCTTGAAATATTTCTTGTTTGACCTGAACAATTTATTGTAGTCATTCAGATGGAGTTATGAAAGTCTAGGCTTTGTTTTAATGAATGAGATGAAGGTCAAGAATTTATGACTGGCATAAAATAGATGGAAGAAGTGTGTGTGTGTGTGTGTGTTTAACTTACATGTGAGGATTAAGCTATTTCTAAATTATAATTTCTTATTAGAATTCACTTGCTGATTTATGGACTTTGGGATTTATGGACTTTGGGCAAGTGACTCAATTCTCTTAATCCTCAATTTACCTCTTTGAAACGCTGCCACCTACCTGCATAATCAGTGTTTCTCAAAAGTGTGGTCTATGGACCTCTGCCCAGTCTCCTGGGTATTTGTTAAAATGAAAATTCCTGGACCCCCACCTAAAATGAAAATTCCTGGACCCCCACCTATATTCAGAATCTTTTAGTTTGTTAGAATTACAGCATACATTTATTTAAAAAATACTGAGCTATTAATTTGAGAAAGCATCCATTGAAAAGTATTGAACATTTAACATATGCCAGGTGCTAGGGATTCAGCAGTGAAAAGATGGTCTTTGCCTTCAAAGAGCTTATATTGGGAGGTGGGGGATGAGTTAGACAAGAAGTAAATAGGGCAATAAATCAACAAGCTAAGTTCACATAGTGAGAAGTACTTTAAAAAAAGTAGAATGGGATATTGGCGGATGGGATAATTACTTTAGATTTTTAAATTAGAGGGTTACAGAAGGCATCTCTGAGGAAATGATGTTTGAGTTGAGAGGTATGGTAATAAGGAGCTAATCATACAAACATTGGGGTGAAGAGTGTCTCGGGGAAGGAAAACAACCGGAGATGGCAAATCGTGGGCACATTCTAGGGACAGAAAAAAAAAAAAGGACTGAAGGTCAGGTGGCTGGTACAGAGTGAATAAGTGGCAAAAGATGCGTTTAGGAGTCAAGTGGCAGATCCAGACCTTCTGAGTCATGGAATTTGCATTTTACTTCGATGGAATGGAAGGCCACTGATTATGCATAAATCACATGTGATCTGATTTATACTTTGAAGAGCGAACTCTTGCTGCTTTGCTGGGCCCAATGTATGGAACATGGATCATAGTGGGGGCCAGAGGGGAGCAGGGAGCCCAATCAGGACCATTAAAGTGCAGGTGAGAGATGATGGCAGTAGGACTGGAGTGATAGTAGTGACAATGAGAAGAGGTTGGATTAGGGACTATTTTGGAGGTTGAACTGAGAGGTCATGTTGATACATTTGGTGTCAGGGTGTTAAGGAACAGAAGGAGGCAAATCAAAGACAATTGCTTCCTAGGGTTTTGCCTGAGCAACTGAGTGGATAATGATGTCATTTACTAAGATGGGAAAATACAGGTAAAGAACAGAGGTGTGTGGGGAAATCAAAGGTTCTGTTTTAGACTAGTTTGAGATGCTGTTAGGCAATTGGTATATGAGTCTGGAGCTCAGGAGAGTGGTCAGGAGTGAAGATATAAATGAAGTTGGGGTTCAAGATATTTCGTGCCCATGACTGCATGAAATCACCTAGGGAGAGTGTAGATAGACAAGAGAAGTAGGCCTGAGACTGGGCTTGGAACCTTCCCACAGTTAAGATAAAACAAAAGGGGAGTGGATGTTGAAGTCGAAGATAAAACTAGGAGAGTGTATAATATAACCTAGAAGTGAAAATGTTTTGACAAGAAGGGAGCAGTGCCCTGACTGGTTTGGCTCAGAGGGTAGAGCGTCGGCCTGCAGACTGAACGGTCCCAGGTTCGATTCCGGTCAAGGGCATGTACCTTGATTGCGGGCACATCCCCAGTAGGGTGTGTGCAGGAGGCAGCTGGTCGATGTTTCTCTGTCATCGATGTTTCTAACTCTTTATCCCTCTCCCTTCCTCTCTGTAAAAAAAAAGAAGGGAGCAGTGTTAATGTTTCTGAGAGGTTCAAGTTCTTTATAGAATCCTAGGACATTATCACAACTCTTTGTTTTACAGATGGGGAAGCTGAGGCTCACAGGGAGGAAGTTGATTCATTGTGATGGTTAATTTTATGTGTCCAGTTGGCTAGGTCATGGTGCCCAGTTATTTGTTCTAACACCAGCCTAGGTGTTGCTGTGAAAGTATTTTATAGATGTGATTAACATTTAAACCAGTAGGTTTTGAGTAAAACAGGTTGCTCTCCATTATGTGGGTGAGCCTCATCCAATCAGTTGGACAAAGGCGGAAGAGAAAAGACTGAGTTAAAAAAAATTTTTTTTTGAGTTGAAAAGGTAGCCAGAGGAGAACCTGATATAGAAGAAGTCTGTTTTAACATCAGAAAGTTGGTGACGTGACACACGTTTATATGCTGCAAGGAACAAACGTGTAGAGAAGGGAGTAGTTTGGCCACCAGGTCTCCAGGCTGCATCAGTCCTTACCCTTCAGGAAAGCAGTGGCTGTGCCAGGGGCGAGAGGAAGCCTAGGTACAGGGGAGCCTAGGTACAGGGGAGCAAAGGCAGCTCTGGGCAGCTCTCTGCAGGTGGGCTGGTTCAGGAGGCTGAACCACTTGATCCCAGGAGGAACAGTCAGTGACCTGGGGTTTGTGCAGCTTGAGAGGCCTCAGGGGGAGACAGTTAACTGTTTTCAGAGGAAGGGCTTTCCTGGGGAGAGGGAACAGATATGTTTTTCTGGATTCAGAACTAATTAAAGACAGTTTTGGTTCAGTAGCAGAAGGAAATTTCTAAACTCACAGCTGCTAGGAGAGGTAGTAAGTTCCTCATCTTCAGAAGTGTGCACACAGAAGCTGGGTGATTGATGAGGTTGCTATATAGGCAATCCAAACATCAGGTGGGGGATTAGATGTCCTTTATAAATCCTTCCAGACTTGGGAATCTCTAACATATCAGGCTTCCCTGGTAATCTCAAAGTGTTTTGTGAAATGGCCAAAAAGACTGTTTTAATGCATTTTATTAAAAACTAGAGGCCCGGTGCACAAAAATTTGTGCACTGGGGGGTGGGTGGTGTCTCTCAGCCCGGCCTGCACCCTCTTGCAGTCTGGGACCCCTCAGGGGATGTTCACCTGCCGGCTTAGAGACAGGTGGCCAAACTTTTGGCCACCAAGGGATCAGGCCTAAGCTGGCAGTTAGACATCCCAATGGCAGCCCGGGAGCCCTCAGGGGATGTCCAACTAATGGCTTAGGCTCATTAGTCAGACATCCTTAGCGCTGCCATGGAGGC